CAAAGACAAGGTGGGGGCAAGATGATGCTCAGTTGTGTCACACAGACTGTGGAGTTCAGAGGAAAAAGAGGCCAGAAAAGAACGAGATAGGAAGAGCGGAATCATACTAACCTAGTAAGCACTTGCTGAATGCCAGACACTGTGCCAAATTCTCAATGCCTACCTCATGACCACCTAGAGCGGTCATCACCATTTAGCAGATGAAAAATCAGAGGCACGAAGAACTCAAGTAACTTGCACATGGTCACCCCTCTGCTAAAAACTGGAACCAGCATTTGAGTCCAGCTCTTCCTGCAGCCAGAGCCTGAGTGTTCCTCACCGGGGCCTGGGGCCAGCCATCCAAGGGGAAGGGAACGGCACACACAGACAGATGTGCATAGAGGACAGCTTCCAGGGGGTGGGAGCTGTGGAGGGGACCTCAGCCATGTTATGAACTATAAATGGGAGCAAAGATAGGATGTGCGATTTGGCCAAGGTCCTGCAGCAAGATAGGGTGGAGGCTGGGCTGGAAATTCTGGCTGTTGGCTCTCCTTCCACTTTCCCTGGTACCAGCGCATTCTGGGCTCTCTCCACCCATCTGCGCGACCACGCCTGATGCGTTTCCCTCTTGGAAGAGGTGCAATCCACTGGCATTGAAGCCGGGTGGACTGGCTCCCTCTCTCTATCCATCTTCTCTCCTTTCCCCTGCCATGTTCTGGAAAGGGCAGCATGAGGGAATGTGGGCAGGTTGCACAGAGATATACATCTGAGAACTGAAGGAACATTTATTTTTAATTTAGACTTAAAAAGAAAAAGGAAGTTATAAAATATCTGCTCTTGCTCCTGGGATTGTGCAGATGGTGCTGCGTGTTGCCTAATAGGGAATGGGGCTGGCACCGTGCGCTCCTGGCCCCAGCAGCCTGACTCTAGGACCCGGGGTGGGACCCCTGTTCTCTTTGCCTCAGCTCGAATGGCTCCCGTAGGCCCATTCGCAAATGCAGCATGGCGTTCCGCTGCTTTCTAACCTCCCCTTCCTGGACTCCAGTCTGCGGATTTCCCAAGCCTCCTGCAGTGAGGTCCGTCTCCCAGCTGTTCTTACCCCTGTGAGCCCCCCGCCACACACACACACACACACACGCCTCAGCACCATCTTACCTCCTCCTTGGGCGGACAGCCAGAGCACCTGCCTCTCCCTGCCTGAACTCCTCTTTGGATGCTAGAATTTATCAGATTTACAGACACCCAAGTACCCAATTACACCATCTTGTCTCTTTCATGCCTAAGTGTTATAAAGGACTTTCTCATACATTTTCCTGGTGTTTGTTTGTTTGTTTGTGGTTAGCTACTCTATATTCCTTTCATCTGGGGGTAGCATGGAATGTGGTGAACAGAAGATGCTCAAAAATGGGTCTGGAGTCTGATTCTTCCTTTGTGCCCAGGGGAATGAGCTGGAGAAAGAGCCCCTAAAAGTGGAAGGACAGGGCTCCCAAGCCAGGAATCAGGAGACCTGACTTTTTCTAGCTAGCTATGGAGGCTTGGGCAGATTACCAAATGTCTCTAAACCTGTTATCTCATTTGCAAAATATAGAAATTTATAATAAGGATCATGGTGAGTGACATAAGAGGAAATGCTTAACAAAATCTATCAATCTCCTTTTTTTTTTTTTTTTTTTTATCCTCACCCGAGGACATTTTTGTACAGATAGAGTGGGAGGGAGAGAGAGAGAGAGAGAAACATCTATGTGAAAGGGACACATCGAATGGCTGCCACCGTACGACCAACCAGGGCCGGGGACAAACTGCAACCGAGGTACATGCCCTTAGCGGGAACCGAACCCGGGTCTCTCCGGACAACAGGCCGACGCTCTAACTGCTGAGCCAAACCGGCCAGGGCTCTCTCCTTTTTTTATCTTCACCCAAGGACATTTTTTTTTTTTTTGCATTTATCTTCAGATAGAGTGGGAGGGAGAAAGGGAGAAAGAGAGAGAGAAACATTGATGGGAGAGAGACACATTGAATGGGTGCCACTCACACAACCCCAACCGGGACTGGCGACAAACTGCAATGGAGGTACATGCCTTTAGCAGGAACCGAACCCAGGACTCTCTGGTCTGTGGGCTGATGCTCTAACCACTGAGCAAACCCAGCCAGGGCAATCAGTCAATCTCTTTAAGAAAGCATAAGGCATCAGGCTCGTGTGAGGGCAGGTGGTTGGGACAGGAGGCTGGTCAGGGTTGGCCAACACTCACTGGCTCTACCAAGCCGCGAGTGTATGTAGTACATAGCCTGGGGACTGGTTCAGTTTAGGGCTGTGGTTTGTTCTGGAAAAGACTTGATATCACATAAAAAAAAAAAAATTGCATGGGACAAGATAAATGAAGATGAAAATGAGACAAAAGGAAGCTTAGGGGAGGGAAGATGATATCAGGAGTGAAGTTTGTACACAAAACACATGCCATGGAGATGTGTACACTTGGCAGATGGGGGCCATGGAGATCTGGCCCCACCCGGGCAGTCAGTGCAAAGAGAAACAGTTAAGAATGCCCAGTATCGCCCTGGCTGGTTTGGCTCAGCGGTTAGAGCGTCGGCCCACAGTCAGAGAGACCCGGGTTCAGTTCCCGCTAAGGGCACATATCTCGGTTGCAGTTTGTCCCCGGCCCTGGTTGGGCCCTGCAGGAGGCAGCCAGTTGATGTGTCCCTTTCACATTGATGTTTCTCTCACTCTCTCCCTCCCTCCCACTCCATCTGAACAAAAAATGGAAAAATGTCCTTGGGTGAGGATAAAAAAAAAAAAAAAAAAGAATGCCCAGTATCTGTGACACTGATGTAAACCGGATGCTCACAAGTACAACTTCTGATCCCTCCTGGGGGTCCCGGACAACAGCTGTCTGGCAAATACAGTGAGTCCCATGGGGGCTGCATCGTCCCATGCCCCTGGTGGCCCAAGCACAGTTCAGGGGGTGCAATGGGGATTGAAATGGGGTTTGAGGGAAAGAAGACAGTGTCATTCATAACACACCCGTGTAATATAAACCAACAGATCAGGGGGAATGAAGAGCTACTTTCATTTCCTCAGAATTTGGGAGGCAGTCAGACATGCACATGTGTATGCATGTGCACTCACGTGCATGTGCACGCGCGCACGCGCGCACACACACACACTTACTCTCTGTTCCCAGCTTCAGGCCTCTCTAGGCTCAGCTTCTTCTCTATGGCCTGGCTCCTGACTAGAGGCCAGACTAGGGGGAGGTCCTGTGTTCCCCATGATACTTCTCAATTCTGCTGGGGTGGGGAGGTTCTCATTACAATGGGGCTATCTCTATTGCCTTTACACGTGTTACTTGGAAACTGAGAATAGAATTTTATTTATTTATTTATTTATGTATTTATTTATTGTTAATTCTCACCTGAGGATATTTTTTCATTGAATTTTAGATAGAGTGGAAGGAAGGGAGGGGAAGAGAGAGAGAGAGAGAGAAACATCAATGTGAGAGACACATATCAATTGGTTGCCTCACACAAGACCCTGATCAGGGCCTGGGATTGAACCTGCAACCCAGGGATGTGCCCTAGACCAGAAATTGAACCTGTGACCCTTCGGGCCATGGCCTGATGCTCTAACTGCTGAGCCAAACCAGCCATGGCCTAAGAATAGAATTTAAACTGAGATAGGACCTCCAGGGTCAACCCCTTCACTCTATTGGTAGAAAGCTAGAAGCCAAAGAGGACTGTCTTCTGCTGGAGATCACACAAGGATGGAGCTGAGGTTAAGAACCCAGGTTTCCCAAGTCCCACTCCTGAGATGTCATTGCAAAGAAAAATGGAGTTGGAGTCTCATTTTTGGGAGAAAAATCTCATAATTCTTCACTGGAGCTACAGAATGGCTTTACATTATATAATGTTATTCAAACTGATATGGGCCAATAAATATAAATGTATGTGCATATTCACTGTTTTTAAAACATTTTAATCTTTAAAACATGATTTACTAATGTTGCTGAGGATGTCTAGAATTTGATTTACGGCATCGAATTGAATGTTTATACTTGTTCGTTACAGAAATTCTTGCCAGTGAGACATTTTATCTACAGGAATAATAAATAAGTCAATATGTGGATGGTTGTGCACATTTTTTTTTCATAGGCAGCAGTACTTGGTAGGTGTTACTTTGCACACAAGTATTCGAAAGGTAAACCTGAGAGACACGTGCATCCCTGCAGTCCAAGGTTTGGCCGTTGTTAAAATCCGACAATTAATCTTGACTTAAAACAAAAAAACAAAGTCGGTGAGTCTAGGTGTTAGATGATATTTGGGCTTTGGGAATAACGAATCCACACATGTCGTTATGCTGAGCTATATGGGCGTATTGGCTCATTCATTCTTTCACTCATTCAACAAACATTTATTAGACATCCGTGTTTCATTCAATAGCTTAAACATGTTATAGCTTTTGCTTCATAAGGGCTCAGTGATAACAGATAGAAACTCCCCCAGCTTGTATTTGTGAAGCATGTCAGGCCTTTGAAATGGTTTTTATTTATTCCTCACAAAAACCCTGTGGGATGGCTGGAGTGTGAAGGAGCCGGGTTAGCTGAGTGGAAGTGAAGGTGTTCCCTTAGTCTGCTTGTTTGTTATATTGTTCCCCTGCCACCAGTTATGGAAACAATGTGTCAACTGTTGAAAAGAATACAGAGTATTCAAGAAGAATGTGAGAACTTACCATTTAACCCGATGCACCTGCTGTGCTATGGAGTTCGTTTCATGCTTGGAGATATGTATGTGTTTGTGTACATGTGTATTTGTATAAAATGTTTTAATGGGATTATGGTGTAATGCAATTCTGCAACTTAGCTTTTTTTATCATTCAGCCTCACTATGGGCAGCCGTTTGTCTGAACACATCATACCAGTTTGTACAGAGTCCGCTTGCTCTTATTTATAGCTGTTTAATCTTCCTCTGCAAACATGTAGGCTGTTTCTTTGGCCTTTTTCAGCCTTCTCTCCTCTCTTTCTCTCTCTCAGGTAGTCGGTCTTCTTTTGCCCAACCAGACACTGGCATCCACTGTCTTCTGGCAGGTAACAGTCTCCTGGCAAACAGGCTCCCAAGGGAGGGCCCAAAGGTACTGGTTAGAACTCCTTGCCTCGGTTTTCCTCTCCCATCCATGCCCCTCGGGGAAGTCACCCCACTTCGTACCTCTCCCCAACCCAGGGCTACTGGGAGAAGCCCAGGACCTCAGTCCCAGTGGAGCAGGTCCCCAGCAGCCCGCATCTCAGGCCGATATATGTCACTTTAACCTTTGCATGGAGGTAATGAGGGCTGGGCTGGTACCCTCAGCTGGATTGCTTGTTGGTGGCCACCTAACCTGTCCCTTGGCTGCTTGTCCCATGGCCAGTGATCTCGAGGCTCACAACCTCTTTGACATCAGCCAAACCCAGAACCAGGGAAGGTAAATTCACCCGAACCCCAAGGTAGTGAGGTGGGTGAAAAAACATCCCAGACCCTGGTCTCCGCTCTCGAGAGCCTGGGTGTGGCTGCCTGGCGCGGTCGAAGCTCTGTGTGTGTGTCTGCAGAGAAGGAGGAGAGGGAAGGACACACTGTCCGTCTTCAGGGAAAATGTCAGTCTTCCCTGGGCACAGCCGCGGCGCTGCCCGTGTCCGGGTGGTGCGGGGCACTGGGCTGGGGTACTTCTGGAAGAGGTGCAGGGCTGTCAGTCATTCCAGGGGCCTGTGTCCGCCTCTGTCCAGTAAGTAATGTAATAAAGATGATGAAGCAAAGGCAAGGGGCCTGTTTGGGGCAGTGAGTGCCACACTTCTGGAGGAAGTACCATCTCTGGATCAGGGTGGACTGCTGGAGTGGGCAGAACCAGGGTCCTGGTTTGCCGGGAGCTGAGGGGTGTCCCAGGACTGGGCCCTTCAGTTGGTCATGCTAATAGTGGGATGGATGGACCCACCGCGAGCTAGCAACTCACATCTTTCTGCAGGGGTGTGGCCTCCCGGGACCCCGGCCTGGCTTCCAGGGAGGCAAGCACACCTTTCCTGACTCTTGTCTCCCCCTTGCCTTTCAGTGGCTGAACCAGAGCCACAATGCTTGTGTCAACTATGCAAACCGCAACGCTACCAAGGTGAGCGCCTCGGACCCCGGGCCAGGGGCCAGGGGCGGGCGTCAGGCAGGGGTGCTCTTTACCTCCCTACAGCGCGTCCTGCCACTCGTCTGGGTTAAGGTTGCCCTCCTGCAGGCGCCTCATTTAAACTGCTGGGAGGGCCTGTTCACCTGGGGTGGAGAAGGCCCATGAAACAAGGGTGGGGGGACAGGGGGTGAACGGGGTGAGCTCCCCTGGCTGCAGAATTCCCTGTGCTCTGATACCCGATATTGGATCAGGACAGCGTCAGTCACGTGGGAACTGAATTTCCTTAAAGCTTCTCCCAGCTTTCCTGAAGCTACCTCGGAGCCCCAGACTATTGGCTGCAAAGCTGAAAGGCTGCTCTGGAAGCGTGTGTGAGGACAGACACCTCCTCCCAGTGCCCTGCCCTTCTGGGATGAACTTACCGTGGAGGCCCAGCCACCCTCCTGCTGTCCTGGGAGGGGCTGGGCCCTGCTTCTCTGGCGAGGCTGCCCCCCGCCCCCACCCCGATCAGTTCTCACTCTTCTGTCCAAAGGCAGAAAGAAGGGAGGAGGAGTCTAGGTCCTCCTGAGGGGGCTGTCAGTTTGGGTAGAAGAGGGTCTGGGCATTTTCTAACCTCGGGGGTTGTCCTGGTGGGTAATACTTCAGAGCCTAGTTTGGCTTCCCTTTACCTTAGACCAAACGTCTCCCAAACTGCCTTGTGGTATACAAAGGCAAGCGCCTCAGCTCTTTCTTAATTTTCTACATTGCTACCTGGGCTACATTTTCCCGTAGAAATATTGAGCAACTGTCTTCTGTGGGCATGGAAGGCAGTTGCTACCTGGCCGACAAGGCGTGTGCGAGCCCGCCAGGCTGAGCCAGCCCTGACACTGCCATTTCTAGCCAGGACGTGCTCCGGTGCCAAGCAGCCCACTCGCAACGTGTGGTCTTCCTAAACTGGGTCAGCTTGCCCAGCCGTCAGTGACCCATTTGGCCCCTGCTGTTCTGTACCTGCAGCCAGCTGTCGGCCAGTGACCTTTTAAGAACAGGGCCCGGTGCAGTGGCCCTCCGCGGCTCCCTGAACATTGCTGCCTCGTAGTTCCATGTTTAGAACTCCGCCGAGGGTGACCCGGATCCCTTTGGCTTCCAGAGGGACCTCTTCCTTCGCACCTGCCCCTCCCATCTGGGAGGTAGGAGTGCCCCTTGCTGGCTGGGGGCTGCTGGCAAGGGCAAGTGTGGGAGTTATGAGCACCCAGTGGGCCTGAACTTCTGTGTCTGTCTTCCAGCCTTCACCTGCATCCAAGTTCATCCAGGGCTACCTGGGAGCTGTCATCAGTGCTGTCTCCATCGCTGTGAGTATGCCCCACCCCCAGCGTCTCGGGCCGAACCTCCTCTGAGGGTGGGAGACAGGTTCCTGTGGGTGGGCTGTCAGGGCAGGCTTTCCAGGCAGAAACGAAAGTGATCTTGGTGGCCCGTTAGTAGAGAGCATGACCGGTGACTCAGGGTTCAGAGGGCAGGCGGGCAGGGGAGGGGTGCCCGTGGTGACATGAAGGGCTGCCCACTCCAGCTGAGGGCGCTGTGTTTGGCTGGCGCTCTTCTCAGAAGAGGTGTCATCGCACCAGCAGCTTGGGGGACGCAGGAGGCGAGGGGCTCTGGAATGATTCACAAGGTTGGCCCAGATGCCAGCCCTGAGCTCCTGGGGCACGCTGTCCCCTCTCAGTAGCCTTGGTCATGTGGTCACGTGTCCAGTCCCTTCCTGGAGGCCTGTAAGCGCCTCAGGACAGGGCCCGTAGGCTCATTTGGAGTCCTAGGGGGTGCTGAGGACAGCAGCTGTTATGTAGGGGAGGTAGACTGTATTAGCGCAAGGTTGGGTCTCAGGTGAGGGCAGAGGGCAGGGGACTCAGCAAGGGGCCGGGCCAGAGCCAGAAGGGACGCTCCGGAGCCCAGGACATTGCTCTGTCTGGTCCTCTATCCCGGTGGGTGGTCTCCTACAGCTCACTCCAGGGGTAAAAGTCGCCTCACAACTTGGTTATTTTATTCATGACACAATAAATACATGCCATTAGTAAGAAAAAATTAGAAAAATTCTGGTACAAATTTACATATAATAATCTTTTTGTGAAACCCACTTTCCCCATCTTTCCCGTGTCATTAACTAAATACAAGAATTGTTCACGCAGGTACTAACCCATTGGACCAAGCACCGTTGTTTGCTTCACTGTTCTGAAGTGGGGATTAGGGTTGTTCTGAAATGGCCTATTTTACTCCACTCCCACGGGGACCAGGTCATCTCCAAATAGCTGTTAGGTGTGCGTGGGTGTCCCCATTTTACCACCAGATCGTTCTCCTCCCCTGAATCCTTATGTCTCACCCCACGCAAGAAGCCAGGCACTGCCAAATCTATCTAGATGCCTGGCGAAGAGACCGCTAACCCACCCCGGTGAGCCTGCAGCCTAGCGTGAGACTTCATTTGGTTGGTGTCATACAAATCGGAGATCCCTGATTCTATGGGGGTTGCTGGCCAATGTCAGGGGCTCTTGTGAGAGACAGGAAAGGGCTCTGTCACCTCTTTCCTGCCGACGTCACCTCCTCTTCTCTTATAACAAGAGGAGCTGACAGCTCAGCCCACTTTAGCAGCTTGAAAATCCGACTTTCCTTCCTTGAGGTTTAAGGATGAGGTGTGTGGGGGGGGGGGGCTGGAAGGAGAAGCCACCTGGGGAGCACACTGAGTGGCTCTGACTGGGAAGGGCTTGGATGAAGGGATCATGTCCTGGTGGGACTTCCTCCTCCTGCCGGCCAGGGGCCCCAGGCTCTGCATCCCCAGTCCTTTCTGTCTCACCCAAGGGGCCCTCAGTCATTCCATCCCAGCCATGACCTGGGGCCAAAGCTAGCCCAGATGTGGGGAGGAGAATCTGAGGCCCAAAGCCTGGCAGAGTTTCTGGGGATTTCGGGTCCTTTAGGGCTCTCAGAGCCAGGGGCTCACGCTAGGGACTGGGGACCTCAGGCTGGGCTGTCATGGCCCCCAGGGGCTGTGACTGTGCTGGGGATGCCCTCCTCCCTCCCCCCTGCCTGGCGGCAGAGCCTTCAAAGAGGCTTTCCCCGACCATGCCAGCCCACACTGTTCTCCCTCATCACAAGTTCTAGAAACTTCTGTCCTTCACCCGCACTCAGTGATACCCCATGTCCTGCCCTCTCATTGTTCCCCTGGATTACAAGTTAAGCAGGGACAGGCTCTGTCTTCTCCCCCCCAGAGGGGAGCATGCAGCACTGCGCCGTAAATACTTGTTAATTAGGCTGCTGATTGATCGCCGGCCTCGGAGGGCCTCTCGCTCTGATCGCTCTGATCGTGGCTCAGCGGTGGTGGCGTCCCTGTCCCTCTGCCTGCCGTCTTCACACAGTGAGGGTCTCACTCCCCTAACTCCGGCAGATGGAGTGGAGTTTCTGACTTGGAAAATCTGCAGCTTGCTTGCTTTTCTTTTGTGTGTGTAAATCACAAAACCTCCAAAGAAAGAGGCTTTGTTTTATTTTCCTTTCCCTTGTTCTCTGGAACCCCAGGCCCCGCGGCCTCATTAACTGATCTCTGCTTCAATTAGTGACAAATCCCCTCCCAGGGCGAGCCTGTTAGGAGGAGATGACCTGCAAACAAGTGTCAGGGCCCCAGTGGTTGGCCCAGCTCTGGCATTAATTAAAACGAGTCCCTACAAGCAGGCGACGTGGATGGGGCGCTGACAGGCCAAGGGCAGATCCCAGGGCCCAGGACGAGCTGGAGTGGAGGCCAGGCCCCGAGGGCCTAGCAGAGCCCTTCGCCCCTCTCACTGGAGCCCGTGACCTTGGCCAGCACCCCCCAGAACCAGGGATCCCCCTTTGCACGCCCCGGAAGTGAAGTCTCATGCTGGTTGCAGGATCCCCAGTGTGGGGTGAGCAGCCTTTCGGTGAACCCTCTAAATAGATTTGACAGTATCTGGCTTCTTGCTCGAGAAGAAAAGAGAAATTTCATCTTAAGTTACTTTTGAGATCTAACAGTGTGCTGCCTGTTCACAAGGAAGCCTCCATGGCTCCGCGCTGTGTTGGTGCGGGCATCGGAGCTGAGCACAGCTGTGGTTGGCCCCTCGGCCCTGGCCGCAGGGGGCGACCATTCACTCCCTGAAGGTGCATGAGTCTCAGACCCAGGTGCACAGACTGGGGTGTCTTCAAGATACCGAGAGGGGAAGCCGGGGTACTCTGTGGTGAAACCGGAACTTGGGTGTGGTGGGACCAGGGATGGGGCCCCCGACTTACACAGGACTGACTGTTACAGGACAGAGCAGAGAGGCGAAGGCAGGGCTTGTGCTCCATCTAGAGGGCACAGCACAGGAAGAGGCACGCAGGAGAGCATGGCAGATTCCAGGCATCAGAGAAAGAGAATGAGTGGCTACTAGGTACGAGTGATGGTGATGAGGTGATGAGGTGATCATGGAGTACTGCAGAGCCACTCCAGGAACTCCTGCCTGGGCTCAGGGACCCATGGCCGTTCGGGGGGTGCAGGCAGAAGGGGCTGGAGAAGTTGTCGGGGGGTGGCAGGCCCAGCAGGTGGACACCTTCATGGATGCAGGGTCTGGGATGAGAGTGGACATGGGCTGGAGAGGAAGGCCCGGGGCTAATGGCTGGTCAGGAGCTGGTCGATGAAGCAGAGTATAAGAGTCGCTTCATGCCTGGTCCTCAAACCCTCCACCTTCAACCAGGTCTTAGCTGGCTAAGGCTTTCCCTTTTGGGGCAACGCTGACCTCCATTCCCAAAGGGTCTGGGCCCTGGGGGCGCCCTTTCTGTATAGGATATAGTGATGTCTGTTAACCTTTACTATAAGACACTAGTGTAGAAGGAAGTGTTCTGGGGGATCCCTGGCTGAACCCCCTCCCTCCCAGTTCCCACTGCTTACTCCATGTCTCCATGATAGTCAAACAGGCAAATAATCATACTGGCTAACACTATGGAATGCCAGGTACTATTTAGGTGTTCATCTCCATTTTACAGATGTGGAAACTGAGACACAGAGGTGAAGTCAGTGGCAGATCTGGGATTCAAACCCAGGCTCAATCACATACTATTCTCCTGACATGGGACCCCTTTTTCTTCCTGCTCCCCTGTGGCATAAGGAGGCCAGAAAAGCCAAGCAGTGTTCTCAGTGCCCAGGTTGAAGGAACTGTTACTATGCCCCCAGGCAGACAAGTCCCTCCCCAGGTGCCTCAAGGACAGTGGGGATTGGAAGAAAATACTGGAGAGGCTCTTTAGCTAGACAGGGTGAGACCCTCTGCTCACCTTTGTACTTGGTTCCTGCACCTGTGTTTTCTGGCCAAAGTCAAGTCAGCTACATATATTTGTCCCACGTTTGTGAACCCAGGCTCTGCCCCTGCAAGATACACCTACCTGGCTCTGTGGTCCAGGGTGTTCTCTGTGGTCAGGAGTGTTCCTCAGGTGTTCTCTGTGGTCAGGAGTGTTCCTCAGGTATTCTCTGTGGTCAGGGGTGTACCTCAGGTATTCTCTGTGGTCAGGGGTGTTCCTCAGGTGTTCTCTGTGGTCAGGAGTGTTCCTCAGGTGTTCTCTGTGGTCAGGAGTGTTCCTCAGGTATTCTCTGTGGTCAGGGGTGTACCTCAGGTATTCTCTGTGGTCAGGGGTGTTCCTCAGGTGTTCTCTGTGGTCAGGAGTGTTCCTCAGGTGTTCTCTGTGGTCAGGAGTGTTCCTCAGGTATTCTCTGTGGTCAGGAGTGTTCCTCAGGTATTCTCTGTGGTCAGGGGTGTTCCTCAGGTGTTCCCTGTGGTCAGGGGTGTTCCTCAGGTGTTCTCTGTGGTCAGGGTATTCCTCAGGTGTTCTCTGTGGTCAGGGGTGTTCCTCAGGTGTTCCCTGTGGTCAGGGGTGTTCCTCAGGTGTTCCCTGTGGTCAGGGGTGTTCCTCAGGTGTTCCCTGTGGTCAGGGGTGTTCCTCAGGTGTTCTCTGTGGTCAGGGGTGTTCCTCAGGTGTTCCCTGTGGTCAGGGGTGTTCCTCAGGTGTTCTCTGTGGTCAGGGGTGTTCCTCAGGTGTTCCCTGTGGTCAGGGGTGTTCCTCAGGTGTTCTCTGTGGTCAGGGGTGTTCCTCAGGTGTTCCCTGTGGTCAGGGGTGTTCCTCAGGTGTTCTCTGTGGTCAGGGGTGTTCCTCAGGTGTTCTCTGTGGTCCAGAATATTCCTCAGGGGTTCTCTGTGGTCAGGGTGTTCCTTGGGTGTTCTCTGTGGTCAGGGGTGTACCTCAGGTATTCTCTGTGGTCCAGGATATTACTCAGCTGTTCTCTGGTCAGGAGTGTTCCTCAGGTATTGTTTGTGGTCAGCAGTGTTCCTCAGGTGTT